TCTTGGAACAAGTTTACGCTGTATGTAGGTAAGTAAAACAATAGATGTTTGCCTTATTTTACAAGTTTACACAGTACACAGGTAAGTAAAACAATAGATGTATACCTTATCTTGTAACAAGTTTACACAATACATCGGTAAGTAAACCAATAGATGTATACCTTATCTTGTAACAAGTTTACACAGTACACCGGTACGTAAAACAATAGATGTATACGTTATCTTGGAACAAGTTTACGCTGTATGTAGGTAAGTAAAACAATAGATGTTTGCCTTATTTTACAAGTTTACACAGTACACAGGTAAGTAAAACAATAGATGTATACCTTATCTTGTAACAAGTTTACGCTGTATGTAGGTAAGTAAAACAATAGATGTTTGCCTTATCTTACAAGTTTACACAGTACACAGGTAAGTAAAACAATAGATGTATACCTTATCTTGTAACAAGTTTACACAGTACTTCGGTAAGTAAACCAATAGATGTATACCTTATCTTGTAACCAGTTTACACAGTACACCGGTACGTAAAACAATAGATGTATACGTTATCTTGGAACAAGTTTACGCTGTATGTAGGTAAGTAAAACAATAGATGTTTGCCTTATTTTACAAGTTTACACAGTACACAGGTAAGTAAAACAATAGATGTATACCTTATCTTGTAACAAGTTTACGCTGTATGTAGGTAAGTAAAACAATAGATGTTTGCCTTATCTTACAAGTTTACTAACGCTATGTCTTTTTTAAAACTGGCCTAAAAGGGATTTGGTTTGATTTTCATTTGCAACCCGCCTAAATTTCTTAAACTCATTGTAACACTCATTACTAAACTTCTCAATTTTCTTTGTAATGTAACATCTTTTCCAGGTTGTTGTATTCTTTCGACACTTGTGGAATCAAATTCCAACATCTTTGTGTGGCAGACGCAACATTACGTTGTCTTTGTGATATTGAACACTAACGCGTTGTGTACAAGATTTAATGGTAGAACTCATCTGAGAGCACAAAAACATTCGTTAATTTTTTCCAATTCTTCTCTCACTTTCTTTTGTAAATCGGTCGAGCCATACAAGGGTAGATTAAGCTTTCTAAACAAATGACTCGAGTTTTCAAAAAAAAATAAAAAAAAAAAAAAAAAAATAAATAAATAAAAACAAAACAAAATAATTGAGAGTAGTAAAAAGGCTATTACCATTTATTGGTGTATTTGAATATCTATACTTGTATTGGAAAACTTAAGTAAGAACTGTACCTTTAGATATTGATTATTCGTATCAAAGAATTTTTGAAGGTCAACACGATACGAGAGGTCATCAAATGTGACCTCAATCTATCTTGACCTTTGCCCGATCTGGAAATCCCTCTATTGTCACTTATGTTTCTCACACCTGATTTAAAACCCACCTGAACACAGCATGAACACTGAAAAGCTTTAAACACGGATTTCCGTCGGTTATCAGTTTGAAATCAATTTTTGTCTCGGTTGTAATGTTTTCGATTGGATGTACGGTAAACCAGACGTAGTGGTTTGATTGTATCTGGTTGTTATTACATGGCGGGTCGAAATATTTGTTTTCAAATTTATTTCAAATGATGTAACAAGGGCCATCTTCTTTCTTTTTATCAGTGTAGAAGAAGATAGTTTTCAAGTACAAGTGTTGACAGGTGTTTTTCTTGCTGTGTAAGCACTATGCACACTTTATGAGTGTACTCTATCATTCGCGGTTTTATCGACATATTTTCTATATGGGCATGGCACAAACGCTGATGATGGTTTAACAGAGTACATATATGGTTTGCAAGGCGAGAATGGTTTGACCAGTCATGACTGTTGAAATTTATCAAAATGTCGACGCTGATTGCCAGTAAAAAAATAAAAACAAAAAAACAGTATCATGATCCAAGCTCAAATTGAAAAGAAAGCTGGGGCAAAATGTGTAAAATATTTGCACGGAGAGTCATGAAAAAATATGAGAAGAATAAGACCAGGTGTTCCGGAAGAGAAAGCGTCTTTTGCTTCATCGACGACACCGACCATGTAAATCTTTGTCAATTAAAGTCACGCTGTCAAATGTGTCAAATGCGATGATGTTTAGAACAACGGAACCAACAGCAAAACTAACACCCATCAAACACCTAAAGCTTAGTATAGCACAGTGACGACTTTAAAACTTCCCCATAATTTTCATTAACAATCATCTCACGAAATCCTATGTTATGAGCGTTTGTGTCAGTTGACGACATCTTGTGATATTGGGAATCAACTGCGACACGTAAACATACTAGATTGAGGGATGCAGAAATACTGCTATCCTTGAACGAAAATTCACAGTAGGGCATTTGAAATCATCACGGTCGTCATACATCTTGATGGAAAGCTGAACATGTTGGTTTCATAGTCGGACACTTCTGTTGTGTATATACGGTTAACATGGTCAATTAATCTTTTCTTATTTAAAGACAAATCGTCATCACTATATATCTGAAATAGAAATTGAAAGTCTTTTGGACATATTTTGATAAGATTTTCAATAAATCTATCCTCGTATGAAGAACGAATTATCCTACAGAAGGGCACAGATAGTTCTTATTGGTATGACAACAATCTGTTGGAAGATCTTTCCACCAAACTCGACGAAGCTATTTTCAATTAGGAACTTCATCATTTTTCTATCATTTCATCCGCCATATATTTCTTCTTTAATTTCGGCGTATTTTTCACGAAGTTTGGACAAAGTTTTGGTTGAATAGCAGGACTAGCAAACAATGAAACCTTTATGTAGATTTTTACGAACGTTCGGAACCATTGTAAACGGAGAAGGTCCGTATCCTTATCATTAATAGGCAGTCTAAGTTATTGTAATACTGAAGCATGGTTAGCCAGTATTTCATTTTTGGCAATATTTCACTGTGAACAGGTGGGTTTCCTTCGTTATCAAGCAAGCATAGACCTTTTTGTATACAGGAAATATTTTAATGTCTACAGACAAGATTCAAGCTATTGGACGGCTTGTGATTTTAGATAATACTTAAATCAATTGTTTCGATGTGTCCAATTGAACAAAATTGGACAAACATATGTGTAGGGCAATAACAAGAACAAACTGCACTTAAAGTATGGAGGGTATGAAGGGATGTTTGCTTAAACAGACTTCTGGAATAAAATATCAATAATGTTGTTAGCATCCACTCCCTTATTCGCTTGATTAACTTTCATAAAATGCCGAGTTGCTAGAGAATCGCGGTCTCCGTATGAACATGTTTACACAGCATTGTTTGTGCTACGTCATTATGAAGTCTCCAAACTAGTTACCACAGGTCACCACCAGCACTGCAATAATTGTTCTCGTAAACAAATGTTCAATATATTTTTGACAGTTGTATTAGCTTTTATTGTGAGTTATAAAACACAGAACAATTGACATATTGATGATACTTGAAGATACGTATATAGGGTGTTAAGAGATTTACAACTTGTTACTAGTTCCATTACTTCTTGGCTTTACCTTTCTATGTTACTTTCCATGATATGTGCTTTCTTTGTAAAAACAAAAGAAAAAAGGCATGATCTTAGGAGAAATAGAAGGGGAATTTTTCGGAATCCAATTGATAGAAACTGACATAGAAAAATCGTATAACACAGAAGGGTTCAGAATTATCAGAATACTGGGATACGGAGAATCAGAATCAGGAGAGGCGGATGAGCTCTTTAATAATGTGCATTTGTTAAGATGTGATGTTTCAGAATTGCAACGCAAAGTCAATTTTGATTGTTTTCAGAACTAAATCACCAAGAGACTGTTATTTAACATGGGATCAGAGAGGAAGCATACAGCTACAATGGTTTATCTAGGTAAGTATTAAAACATCAATAAAGTAAAAAATGTAAACAAAATCCAAACTCAAATTATATAAAACTGGGTTAACCAAAATACTAACAAAAGAAAAATTTTCACTGAGATTCCTGAATGGTCAAGGACAATAAGACCAAGTGTTCCAGAATAGGGAGCGCATTCTGTTTCATTGACGAAAGTGGTCATGAAAATCTTGGTCAGTCCATGAAAGTATGAAAGTAATGTCACGTTCAAATGAGAACAATACATACAACGGAACCAACATACAAACTAACGATCATCAAAACGTTCAGCTGCACATCGTACGAAAGAATATAATATTTCTCAAAGAGATCACGATTGCGACCGTAAAACGTCTCCATAATTTTCACCAACCTGCATCTTTTGGATATATTGTGCGATTGTCCATAGTGCATTGCACGTTTAATTACAATTTTTGAGTTTGATATAACAAGTGCCAGACAATGAATGTAACTGCATAAGCTATTTCGTCCTTCAAAGACACGTCAGTGACGCTAAGAGCTAAATGCAATATCTGTCAGCCAATTAGGCATAACAAATTCCCCTCTAGACTATTTTAACTTTGTATATTCGAATTTGTTTACAGACTCCGCATAATCTGTCAGTTGCCATTAATATGTCAAATTTGAGTTCGAGTTCGTTTATTTGTTTTAAATATTCTCGTTTTTCTTGTATACGAGAAACAATCTCATGCGTTAACCAGCGCTATATTTTCCTGTTTCCTTCATCTAGTACGCTTACCTGGTGTTCGGCACCTACTGATGTTACAATTAAAATGACATCATATTCAATTGTACCTTTGACGCAAAACCGCTATAATAGAATAGCGAAATTCTAAAATGAAACAAGTTGAGACACAATAAAGTAGGGAAACTTAATTAACCGTACATTGTCGAAATCGACATATTCGGTGACATTTCATTCTTGGAAATTTGTTGTAGAATGTCAGCCTAAAATTAATCGGTCTTAATCATACACAGGAAAAATATTTATTTTAGTCTGTAGAACGAATATGTGATATATCGTATGATCCCGTATATTATGAATTACTGACCTCGCACACTATCATCTCGAATTTTTACAACAGGTGTATATGTGATTCTACTTTGTGTACGAACAACGATGACAACATCGACACCAACAACGACACCAACAACAACACCAACAACGACACCAACAACGACACCAACGACACCGACAACAACGACACCAACGACACCAACAACAACACCAACAACTACACCAACAACGACACCAACGACACCGACAACAACGACACCGACAACAACGACACCGACAACAACGACACCAACGACACCAACAACAACACCAACAACGACAACAACGACACCAACAACAACAACAACGACACCAACGACAACAACGAAAACACCAACAACGACAATAGCATCACAAACAACAACGACAACAGCAGTAGCAACAACTGCAGAAACATCAAAATCTGAGTCGATAACGACGGGAACAGCAGACGCCACGACGGTTACATCAACAGCATCAAATGAAACAACAAACGCTACAATAGAATCAGTATCAACAACAACATCTGCGACGATACCAACGTCAACAACAATAGAATCGTCAGTCTCAACCTCATCTACAACAGGTAACAATTCGTGTGTCATGAAATACGTTGCTTTGACAAAGACCTTGCATCATGTTTATTTCAGTGCTTCAATGGAAACTAAACCAATAACGTTTTCGATGCTATTCATTAAGTACTGTAGCATTGTTGCACTTGGTACTCTCACACAGAGATGAATAATAATAATAGTGAGGTATAGTAGTAAGTTACTACTTTATCCATGCCTATATATCTCTTTCAGATGGGTTACTTTATGACCAGAACTCATCTGTATAAATGCAATATAGATCAAAGTAGTTGAATGATACATGCTTACTGTGCCATTTGTATACTTACTAAGGAACTAACGTAACATCAACTGACAAGCTTACAACAGACAAGCTTACAACAGACGCACCAATTACTGCCGCATCTACAACAGACGCAACGACGGCTACAGCTCATACAACTGAAGGCTCAACAATTGACGCATCAACGTCTGTCGAATCAACTACTGCCGCATCGACAACTGCAGCACCAACAACCACCACGGCACCAGAGGAATTCCCAGACAAACCAGTAAATAAAGGTATGTGTATATAAACTATATTCTTCCAAATTTGCGGTTAAGATTAAAAATGTTTGTATAAAAACTGCAAAGATTAACCATTTCCTGAAGTTTCCTTTGACAATATATGTAAATGTGGTATCTGTTTTAGTTCAGGTGGGACTTCAAGTATCAGCGAAGGTATACAACTACCTCTCAAAGATTTTAATTAAATAAAGATGAATTAACATGAAGGCTATGCTAACAGTACACAGAATGATTTTTCATCAAATAATTAAAACAAAGTATGTCATGAAGAATCTCAATATCTGACGCTACTCTATCTAAATCGGATTCTAAATTTGTATGGAAGGGTGCTATCAACCTTGCGTGTATATTTAGCATTTCTCATCTGTGCATTGCATCCATTTAATATAGAAAGTTGAATGTTTATGGAAAAAGGGTATTACAGAACCATCTCTGTCTCATACACTTTAATATATCAAAATATCATGAACTGTGAGGATCTTTCCTTGTATAGAAAAAGGTAAGGAATGAAGTGTAGGTAACTATCTCTTAAGTACGACTGCAGAGAAACCACCAACTCGAATTATTGTAGTGGGACGTGTCAACTGTCAAATTAAAGAAAAGAGAAAACAATTAAAGAAAAGAGAAAACCGAACTAACTAAATAAAATATCATAGTAATCTTATCTTACTTTTTATATACCACTATGCTGCATATACATTTTGCTCTACAAAAAAGCACAGAAATCCAGGCAGAATTGGGTTTTTCTATTAGATCCTCAACACTGTATGGTAAAGGTCATAAGAGGATGATTTATAGAGTATTGTACTCACAAATACACAGTGTAAATCTCTACAAAGCGACACAATTATCACAACCACAGTTTGCTTACACCAATATAGTAACATAGAAAATACTAATCTGTGTTTTTCGTTCACTTTGCAGCTATTTATATACGGTTTATGTGATCTAAAAATGCTTCAACTCTTCAGCAGTTTTGTGTAGTGCTTGATTTCGATGAAAATGGATTTCGTTTAATACCATCAATCTATGCAATTAAATAACTTAGATAACATAATTTAAAAAATCAATAAAATTTGAACCAAACGGAAATTATTTTACAATATTTTGAACTTGGTGTAAGGCAGTCAACGTATAATTTTCAAGTGAGAATGTTGTTCTTTACTTCATTTGAAAACAAGTTGTACCGATTTGATAGCTTTATATTTTAGGGTTAAGATATAGTTAAATGTTATAATCATACTACATACAAATACATCATATGATACACAAATATGTAATGCACAGAGACAACAATATCCCGTAAATCATTCTTTATCAACCGATACTCAGTAGTTACCTTCAATGTTTTTGCCGCAAATGTGACAAAGAAACACAATGTAATACATGCTGGTTTGATCATGATATGGTGTTCTTCTGTACAGAGTTTGAAAATTCTCCGTATTGAACGAATGGAACGAAAGCATGAATGTGTCATACTTGATTAAAGTTAATTCCTTTGCAAGGCTATCATATCTTATTTTATTCCATGATGGTAAAGTTTACATCCATCTTTAAGTACCTGTAAGTCCCGAATAGCACGCTATTTTTTATCGTAATTTCTTTTTTTTTTAAAGAAAATCCATTACTGAAAAAAGTAGCAAAATTGGGATATGCAGAGTGGAAATATTGTAATAGGTATTATAATATATTGGGCGTTGTCATCTTTATGTAACATATTGTATTTCATATGATATTTATATCATCATAAAGATTTCAACCTTTTATGTTCATTTCTCAATCTGTATTTATTGTCAATTCGTTTAATTGAAAATGAAATATACTTAAACTTTGTGTACAAACTATGGCCTTTGTTCTTGTCCTTAATATTTATGCTGTGGAACATATGTTATGTTTGATACGTATTAATGAAGTTTACCTCGTGTATTTAAGGTGATACATTTTACAGTGACGATGAGTCATTGCTACACCTTCACGCACCTGGTGATGGTGATGTTGCTAATGTTCTCTGCGAGTATAAAACAAGTGTCATTACATCTATATAAAGAAATACCCTTGTATGATACAGAGCTGATAATTTCTTAATAGGATGTCCGTTTATTTGTAGAGGCGTACTTCGAGTTGACAATCGACTTCAGCTATGGTGCTAATTTGAATGAAACAACTGTTGAATCAAAGGTAAGTGGAGAAACGAACTGCTCATATGTACCCGGTCTCAAATGTCTATTGCGATAGCAAGACGTCAAACTGGCATTCTCTGTAGAATCTTGATACTGGAAATCGACTTATAGTATCTTTTGTCATAAAAGATAAGATAAAATATGTTGTGATACCAAACGTTATCATTATGAGGACTAAAATCTCTACCGTAAGTTTACATCTAGCATGCGGGGCTTAATGTTTTCTAGATGGACTGCGACATTAACACGAGTTATTTACAGTGAGGTCACACATTAAATACATATTCCATAAATTAAAAACATGTTCAAAATGACATTCATAATGTCATAACTGTTGTTTGTAAGCAATTTATCATTTTAAACAAATAAGGAGTTATATGCTACATTGGGAAAGGCACAATAATACTTTGAGTATTCGAGTTTAGCATTGTCGGATATGCAGGTTTTATAAATCAATGAAATATGTTTATGAATCAAATGTATATATAACTGAGGTGTAAACACTATTGAGGTATTGACTACCATTAAAACACCTGCCCAAATATTTCATGTGCTATTCCCTTGTGTGTCTTTCGTACAATCTTGAAGATAGCAGGTGGTAGACACTGCTGGTGGACTTTTAAGTCCCTGAGATTTGCCGTTATCTGCTTGTTCCGTTTAAATTCACTCGAATATTGGCACGGTTCAGAAAGTATACATGTACTTGCCGCTATTCTAAATTTATCTGATGTATGAAAATTACGAAATTTATGTAAGTATGGGACCGTTGTACCACCCCGTCTAGATTTTGACTTTTCTTTTGACCACTTTGGATTTTCCTTAGTCGCCTCCTCGATTTCACAGTTTAGGCCCTTAGCATCACTGATGAGTCCCAGAAAGACAAAAACAGCTGTATGATGCAGTTTAATTCTTTTGTTTTAGGCTTCACTGTATCTCACTCTAAGTTATGAAAAGGTGCTGTTCACTTGCGTTTTTGTTTTGTACAATCTTATAAAGCATGCAATTGCTATCAGTGCCATTATCGATTAAATAGATATACACGTTCATGCAATGTACATAAATGTACATATCTTAATGTATTCTTTTTTGGTATTACCTTTTTAAGTAATAATTTTTAATTGGATTGTAATACTTAATGCTGTAAGCATTTACAGGACATTTCATGCGATTTTGCACAAATAGTTATCGACATTAAAGTATTTTGAATACTGTATATGTTACCTTTGTCATTTCCAGCTCACCGAAGCGTTTCAGAATACTCCAGGATTTCGTAAAGTGATTGTAAATACAAAAACAAACAGGTAACATCAAGGCCAGTTTAACTCCTATATTATCTAATACCTGTATCAAATTACATCTGTATCAACTCACACCTGTATGATCTTACACCTATATCTTCCACCTGTATTATCTTACACCTGTATTATCTTACACCTGTATCTTACACCTGTATTATCTTACACCTGTATCTTACACCTGTATCAACTCACACCTGTATTATCTTACACCTGTATTACCTTACACCTGTATCTGACACCGGTATGATCTTACACCTGTATCTTACACCTGTATTATCTTACACCTGTATTACCTTACACCTGTATCTGACACCGGTATGATCTTACACCTGTATCTTACACCTGTATGATCTTACACCTGCATGATCTTACACCTGTATTATCTTACACCTGTATCATCTTACACCTGTATTATCTTACACCTGTATTATCTTACACCTGTATCATCTTACACCTGTATCATTTTACACCTATATGATATTACAAATGTATCCTACATATGTTTCATTTTATATTGGTATATTCTTTTATCTGTATGATCTTACACCTGTATCTTACACCTGTATCTTACACCTGTATTATCTTACACCTGTATCTGACAACTGTATTATCTTACACCTGTATTATCTTACACCTGTATCTTACACCTGTATCTAACACCTGTATTATCTTACACCTGTATTATCTTACACCTGTATCTTACACCTGTATGATCTTACACCTGTAATTTACACCTGTATTATCTTACACCTGTATCTTACACCTGTATGATCTTACACCTGTATCTTACACCTGTATCTTACACCTGTATTATCTTACACCTGTATCTTACACCTGTATTATCTTACACCTGTATCTTACACCTGTATTATCTTACACCTGTATCTTACACCTGTATTATCTTACACCTGTATCTTACACCTGTATTATCTTACACCTGTATCTTACACCTGTATTATCTTACACCTGTATCTTACACCTGTATTATCTTACACCTGTATCTTACACCTGTATTATTTTACACCTGTATCTTACACCTGTATGATCTTACACCTGTAACTTACACCTGTATTATCTTACACCTGTATCTTATACCTGTATGATCTTACACCTGTATCTTACACCTGTATCTTACACCTGTATTATCTTACACCTGTATTATCTTACACCTGTATCTTACACCTGTATTATCTTACACCTGTATCTTACACCTGTAACTTACACCTGTATTATCTTACACCTGTATTATCTTACACCTGTATCTTACACCTGTATGATCTTACACCTGTAACTTACACCTGTATTATCTTACACCTGTATTATCTTACACCTGTATCTTACACCTGTATCTTACTCCTGTATTATTTTACACCTGTTGTTATGCTGTATATGGATGTACATATGAATGGGTAGTTCGATCTGTAGGAATCTTTTGTAATTTAATAATCAGTTTTCTCAAAATAACATACGTATCGGAAGTTGTTGAAATGCTGTCACATTGTATGTAAGACTAACATGATCCTAATGCTTGACTTTAAGTTTTATTCCCCGTAGCGACCAAAGTAACTAAGTATGGTGTTTACATGGTTGTGGAAAGTTCTGTACTAATGATCTAAATTATCAAATATAATGACAATTCATAGTGTTTAATCGTATTTGTACATTAGTGTAATACTACTCATCGTCTGTAACAAAGAAACCAAATATAAAAATACTAATAGGGTTTTGCGTTTAGCATTAATACAAACACCATGGAGATACAGATCGGGACGTCATGAAAGAAATCATGGAGCTGATGATGTACTTTACAGTATACCGATAACATTTTTCTTCTGTATTTCAGAGTACGAAGAGACACATCTCCCACAGCCAGTTTTACAGCATCGTTTGATGCAGACGCCATCTTACACAACACCGACTTTGCCACAGCAATAAACGGCAGTATCAATTCTCTGAGAGACGAGTTAGATTTTGAAGAAACCGTTTACGACAAACTAAGCGAATGTAAGTAATTTAAACCTTACTCTATTGTTTGTAGTAAAAAGAAAAGTAATTTTCTCAGCATACACTGTTTAAAACACCAAAATGATGTATAATGTTAAAATGATTCGCGAAGCCATCTCATTTTCTGACACTTTTGTTTTCATTTCCCGACACAAAATTAATATCAATGTATTGTTGTGTTCGAGACGAAAAAGACTAATTGAACTGTTTGATTACATTTCTATCTATTTTGGCGGTAACTGAAGGTGTCGTAGAAGTGAGGTATATTTGTCGGTTCATTACTTCAATAATATATACTAATGTATACATACATGTAAGTACTGTTCCGTTAACACATCTTACCACATCAATTTTTTTCCAAATCTTATTCCAAGTATATTAAACATACATTTTATTTGGTTGATGCAAATGGTTGTAGAAAAACAATTTTGTTCTTTAAAAGAATAAAAAAAAAAAAAAAAAAACAAAAAACAAAAAAAAAACCAAACAAACAAACAAACAAAAAACCCCAAAAAACTAATGTTTTAAATAACTCGAAAGCATAACGATGTATGATTTCGAGTTATTTCCCTTAACACTATTAGCCAAAAATGTAATCTTCACATGTTATATGGCGTATGAAAATATATCAGCATAGGCATTGATTAAAATTGTTTTTACTTTTAGTTTTTGTGAAGAGAAAAGATATATGTGCTGCTTCATATGTCTGTCCGACGGCGTACGAATGTGTTTCTGGAGGACTTTGTCAATATCGCTGTAAGAACAAATGTTCGGGCACCGAGACATGCTCCGTTGTAGTCAATGCCACAGGCTCGTTCACACAATGCAGGTACATATTTATGTTAGAGTTCTTTGTATCAATATGAAAATATTTGACAGAAATTAGACAAAATCAATCTTTGCCAGTCGAAACCGCAGAACATTCCTTATTACATTGACCATGTAGCTCCTTTAAGTGACAGCTGTTTCAATTTCATGTTATATTTTGCAGTATTGTAATAGTTTTAAAGGCTTATGCTATTAAATACATCTACCTTGTATGTAGATCAACCGTTCAAAAAGAAATAATAACGAATGATGTATTCCCTATTGTTTGTATACTGTACTCGACTCCCTAAATATAAATAAACATCATATATAACGTGACAATATGTAAGTATAAAATATTACAATATAACCATGAAGTATAACAAAGCATACGTATAAAGTATTACATATATAAGTATGAAATGTATTACAATACATAGATAAAAAGTATTACAATACATAAATATAATATTACAATACATAAACATAATATCACAATGCATAAGTATAAAGTATTACAATATATTTGTATAAATTATTACAATGTATAAGTATAAAGTATTACAATATATTTGTATAAATTATTACAATGTATAAGTATAAAGTATTACAATATATTTGTATAAATTATTACAATGTATAAGTATAAAGTATTACAATATATTTGTATAAATTGTTACAATGTATAAGTATAAAATTCAGCACGACAGTACATAATTGTCAATGGACTGCTTAAATACACAAGAGAATAGTAGTCAAATAGTGAATCAAACTGCATCATGCAGCTGTTTCGTCCTTGTAGGACACTTCGTTGATGGTAAGGGCATAAATCGGTGAAACATTCGAGGCGACTAAGTTTAACTTATATTGGTCGAAATAATGGTCACTAACAAGATGGCGAATCTTTTTTTTGTTTTTGAATGTTTTCTTCAGGTTGGTAATGTCAATAGAATAAAGTTCTTATGACAAAACCAGTAGAAGATTAGAGTGTGACGTTTCGATGACTATACGGTCATCTTCATCAGACAAATGATCAGTTTGGAGCGTACTAGCAGTGACGTATATAGTGTACGAGATGGTACAGAATCGACCGACTTTTCGGCTGCACTATAATCCTATGTACACCATTAACTAACGATTATTTCCCTTTATGCTGCTACAACTCTGTAATGTACATTACATTATTATATTGCTGTTTACTTATAGCTCGACTGACACTGCAGTTACCATGGCAACACATACATCCAACGACGACCTGGTAATACAGGTAGCGGTACCTTTAGCCGTAGTGTTGTTCCTCGTCCTTCTCGCGCTTATATACGCATGTCACAAACTACACAGACAAAAGTAAGTATAACAGATTCTTAATTGTTTTTCTCAGTATTGCGTTAACAGCATTGTCCTTATCATTACATCGTTACCTTGACCACCATCCAACATAAGTTATTAAATAGACAATTTATCGATAGTGTTTCGTTTTTTAATTTCTTTCCCTTTTTATTTGCACGATGATATTTGATTTTTTAGCACAATGCTTTCCTTGATTGGATACAAGTACAATATGTCTTTTTTTGTGTTTTCTCTGAATCACAAATATGTCCATTGTATTGAATTTTTAAAAAATTCAATGAAAATTGATATATATATATATTGGCTTAAAGATTTCTAGGCATATTTTCTTGTCACAAACAAATTTCAGCAACATTTTTAATCCATTGATATCAAGACATTGTTTATGTTTGTGATTAAAATCAATCTCAGGGTATCGGAAAGTCTGTGTTACTGTGTAATGAAGTTTAATTCGTTATTTTGCGACACTGTGCATTATAATATTATAATTCTCGTGTCTTTTGTACATTTGTTTCATTTACACAAAAATTTGTAAAACATCTGTATTCTTTCGAAATTCATGTAATATTCGTTTATTTTATATCTTTAAGGACAAATGGGAATGAGAAGTCCTACCATATGCACCAATTCTGAAGTGAATCACCATCAAGTATCCATTTTGAGCAACAACGATCATCGTGTTAATATTTACACAGAAGTATCTATTAACATTGCATCTTACATGTGTATCATTGCCGTTTTAATATTGTCATACTATTTTGGAACACAGTCAGAAACAAGACATACGTTAACTACACTATTTAGGTCACGTGTGCCTTAAAGATTCGTTTTCATGTTCATGTGGATATTTTCTACCTTTAGAATGTATCAATTTGTCAATGTAGTATTCGTTTATGTGAGTGATATGATGATTAATGAGAGCTTTGACGGGTATGAATACAAATCCATTTACATCAGTATGAATCCAATTTATAAAATATGTTTAATCGTAGTTATTATTGCCGGTATATTTATTGACCACGTATGTTTCTGTGTAAGATGTAATGTAATAAAGTGTATTGTGACGTGAGGATTACATACTAGAGTGACGTTACAGTCGCAAATGACATTGTGACGTCACAATGGAGATCACAGATATACGTCCTCTGAAAGTTTCTCCCAAATGTGATGAAAATGATCAAAATTTCGTTACCATCTTCTACCATGTAAATGTAATGTAAAACCAAATATTTTGCAGGACTTTTTTCGCCCTAAAAACGACATCAACGTAAACATTAACTAAATTTTACTTATTTAAAGACTTTCATATACAGAAAAAGGGAAAAAATGCTTAGTAAGCACTAAAACAATTGTTCATATATGGTTCATATTCATATACCAATGATAAAATGACGGTGAGATTTCACCATAAACATACTAATCAAATCGATATATCTTTATTCATAATTTCGCTAAAAAATGATATTTGTTCATCTAAACATTTTGCTGACACATTTTTTTTTTCTGTCAAGAAATATTTTGATGAATTGATAACTAGTCGACTGAAGTTAGTTGCAAAGGAACTGTTTTAAATCACGTTTTGACGATTGACCTGTATAAAGTCATACGTGAGGAAGAAATATTGTCTCGATTTCAACAAGGTGCTTCTACCTGCTACAAAATTGAGGTCTGTATACAAAAACAAAACAAAAAAAATCATATTGTATGATGTTAACATGTGAATTATAATCAATATATTATTTTCAACCGTTTTATTTTTGTAATTAAAATATAGTATGATAAATTACATTATATGCGGGAGGGGGATTATTTGCGGTGAAATACGGTAGTATGATAAATTACATTATTTGCGGGAGGGGGCTTATTTGCGGTGAAATTCGGTAGTATGATAAATTACATTATTTGCGGGAGAGGGCTTATTTGCGGTGAAATACGGTATTATGATAAATTACATTACGCACAATTTATGTGGTGTTTGCTTGCCTGCATTACAAGTGTTTTTTCTGCAAACAGTTATAAATGGATGGTATGTAATGACGTAAAAACATCAATTTTATACCCATACAATCAAATCTGTAAACAATGGCTATACAATGCATCTGGTAAAGTATAGTCATTTTAGACAAAAAGTCTTTATCAACTGATTAACTCTCTGCGATTTGTTTTTCATCATCGAGAACAATAACAAGTGACCATCATGGATCAGTGTTTTTTTTACAGAGGTTGTCTTTTAACACTGGGGTGACTGTAATTTAGTATATTGTTCAAACAGCATAAAGGTTTTGCCGTTTTGGAAACGTTTAATAAAAAATATTTGCCATAACCTGCGCTTAAGGTTTGAATCCATCCAATCAGTGGTACGGTTCAGAATACACACATGTACTTGCCGTTCTTCTGAAACTGTCAAGCATTTGGAAATTATTGATGCTTTTTGAAACATGGGGCTAGTGTACCTTCTATCTATCTTTTGACAATTTTTATCGATCACTTAGGATTATCATCAGTCATTTCCAGGGTTTCAATAATTTGGCTCTTGACATCACTGATGATTCTTTAAAGGACGAAACAGCTCAACAACGTCATTAAGGATCGTATAGGGCGATAAAAGTTAAAACTAGAATAGATGGTTCATGCAAGCAGAACGGAACGCATAGTATCAAATACTTACAAAACTCTGTTTAAAGATGCACGCTTTGCTGAACAAACTTAATTGTAACCACACCGATTAACAAATATTAGTAAATACGTTTGATCAATATCATTTCAAGACATAATTTTGTAAACAACTTTCATGTTTTATCCAATCAAATACATATGAGTTACTATTGAATTTATAATTATAATAACAAATTTTCTTTCATTTATCTTTTGAAATGCGTTACATTGCTTCACGTCTCTGATATATGTATATGCATTATCTATGTTTTTTTTTCTACTATATTTCATTTCTCTGCACAGAAATCTTACAATATTTATACATATCAAATATGCTATACAATATTATCTAATTAGAACGTTGTTGTGCCTTAAGTAATTATAATAAAACCATACAAGTCAGTTGTAGTTTTGTGATATTTTCTATTTTAGAAATTCCAACATATATTAGAGTCTCATACGAAGAGACATGGGTCCAGTTATTTTGGTACATTTTTTGTATGTATGTATGTGGAATGTTATTTTGCTAATAAAGGCACTTGCGTAGTTCTGTGATCACATACCTTAGCGATTACAGTACGTTAGCAAACGACAGAACACACGATTCAAAATTGATATCGCGACATTTAAATAGGATACATTTATTCGTTTTAACACAGCACGATAACATTTTAATGACATAACACATTTTTGAGTTGCTAACTATATTGTCTATCGCGACGCCAGGTTTTTTTTTTCTCAAAGTAGGATTAAGAAAATATTCATCACTGCGAGAGTATTTGAGAATAGATTCTCTAATTTTTTTTATCATAACAAACCAACATTACACACCTTTTCTTACTTTTAGCGAGCGATAATTTTTCATAGAAATAAAACTCCTTGAGCTAACGCGATATAAATATACGAAAGGAATAACACGTATTATTCCATTGTCTTCTCTCAATGTGACGTTTTGATAAGAAACGTGAACAAGACATCTCTATGAAAGTAAGGTAAAAATATTTTCTGAAAAATGAAAGACACATCATATAAGATAAATTTACTGAACGTCAAAGCAAAGAAATGAAAAAAAAATATTTAAATAGTTGAAGAACAAAACATACTATTCTCATTTGTTTTCAATATACATAATGGGCAATAAGTACTGCAAAGCAAGTAACTGCGAGAGTAACTTTTCCTGGTCTTCATTCATCTTATAACCGATATTATTCTCAAATTCACTGAATGTTGCTGTTTGTAATGCATATCTGCCTTTACTTAAGATGGTTAAAATGACTAAATTACCTTGATCATGACGGACATCTCAAAGATTTAAAATGGAATCGTTGTAACAATATCATCCTATTTAATCATTTAAAACTTAGCGATTGCGACAGGCGCACTGAAGTATGGATGCGATATATGGAGGATGGTCATGGTTATTCCACACTGACGTAAAGCATAACTTCAATAACTGTACACATATAAAGAACATATTTTATTAAGTCAAATGTTACGATCAAAAAGCACAAAGAAAGTGGTAAGAAGCAAGTTGATAGGGATTTCGTACATATATCTTTAATATGGGAAGTTAGTGCTCCCTTAATCTCATACATATACAATATACAATTCATGTAGATTTAAAAATAAAATGAGAACCACGCTGGTATCATCCTGAAAATATTTACAATATACGACTTTTTATACACTTTAGAAAACAATTATCTACAGCTAATTTCTGGAACAGTTATTAGAAAAAATAGTCTTTCAATGTACTTGTTATTTAACGGAACATTACGCACAAAATATTACATTTGTTATATTACACAAGGCAATATATTTACAATTAGTGATTGTTGTTGTATACCCAACACTATTTAGGTTGATGTTGTCAGACGTGTTGTCTGGTGTGGCTCCTCTAACAGGTCAGATGAGCCTTTGGATTTTGTATCAACTTCATAATAACCCTTTGTAGTGACTGCTTTACAGCACATCGCTTTCCACTGTTTCCTTACTTGTGGATCGCGCGTGACGAACAAGACAAAAATGAAAAATCCCTGGAAGGCGTTACAGATGGTGAAAATGTATTGAAATGGGATACGGGCATCATCTATGGCCATATATCCAAAAATCCACGTAATACCTGAATTTGGAAAACGGAAATATTGTGACAGGCCTTAACAATAAAAATTGAATCGATACGTGACTATAATGCGATAAAGAAAAAATATAATATATAACGAGAAGAACTATCTTGTATATTACAACATTAAGCAGAGTTATGAAATGATCCGCTCCTCCATCGATTTACTACCCTGAAGTAAAGTTCTCTTGATGGGAAACCTCTTCGACACCATAGCCCATGCTGTGGTTCAGCTGCATCATATTCATATACTCTAATTCATACTTTAGATATACTAATTGATAAACCGAATCGTATTTGAAACCGATTTCTGCGCGTGCTTAATACAATTTCATTAAAAATTTCTAATAAAAAAAAAAAAAAAAAAACATCACTACGGAAATTCATCTCCATGTAATCTAAGTGGAGATGGACTTTGATATTATCTCCTTCCACTGCTAAACGTACATACGCATCACAATTTCGAGAAATTTAAGTGGAAGAACCTAAGATTAATACAAAATTTTTCATTGTACAAATAGTTTTTTCATGCACATCTGAAAGGAACATTGTTTGTGAGACTTAAGGCCAGGAATCACATAATCCTTATAAATAAACTAGATCCTTGTGTAAGAAAGAACTAGGGAAAATGTATCGACGATTGTAAGCGTATTATTCATGATATTCGCTTACTATCCACTGGCTGTTTTTACGTTATATCTTTACAAAAATCTATTTGGAAACACCAGATCATGAAGTCTCACATATTCACACTAAAATTATCTGAGAAACTTTAGGCCAAGCAGGTACGTAAGTCGTACAAAAGCTTGACATACTTATGTTGATAAATGTTTTGCATGGTTAACGTATTTGCTTGAAATTTTAACATCTGTTCAGAAATTAAAACTGCAAAAAGAGTAAAATCTCTTGCTTGAAAAACGTTGCCAAATAAATAATCTAATGAGGCTAGTTATTTAGTTATAGAAACGGTTCTTGCTCATAGCATTAAGTACAAACACTTAAAGCAAACCAATATAGCAAACCAAACGTAGCCATTCAATCAGAGTGGAAAGTAAATTTTCGATAGAATATCAACATCCGGATATTTTGTTGAAACAAAATACAGTTTTTTTTTTCAACTTCAATCACCAATATCCAACACATGGTAAATAACATTACTCTTGATATTACAAAATTCCAGCATCTGTCTCTGTTTTCAAATTAATCATATTCTACATTATAAACTTTATCATGGGGATAGCTTATCATCCTTTTGATAATATAAATCAATCAATCAATCTTACATGGTAATCAATTATAACAATAAGCTAAGACATTCTCAACAAACTATGTCGAATGCTTTATATCTAAGACTTTGTAACAAACACCTAAACTTGTAAGTATTATCGAAATTACTAGTGTGAATTTCTGTAACGATATTATTTGGTTATACCAGTGTTATAAAACATGCAGTGGCTTAGACTGCATTCTTTTATTATCAACATTCAAATAAATTAGACGGGCTATGTATATATGATAATTGTTAAGTTTGTAACTACAATTAATTGTTAATAATGTTTTATATTTAGACAATTGTTCTATATAATTAAAGAATCGTGCAAGAGAGACGTGTTACGTTGTGTGCTGGATCAGAATGTGAACAAAATTTGAATGCTTTATTGATATCTTGTTTGTTTACACCACGAGTATTGTGTTACATCAGAAAAATCATAATTAATGAAATGTAAACGAGACAATTTGTTGGTTTTACTAGTATCACTCGGTCCGGACACAACAATAAAGTATGATAAATTATCAAAGGTAACACAGACATTACAGTAGGAATATATTGGCAACTTTTTGTTCATTTGTATCTTATAATTTTTGCAAATAATACAGAAGTAGTGTGATTTGACAACAAGTATGAATAGAAATGTGGTTTTGCTTATAACACTAGCTGATAACACATCTAGAGGAATGGTGAAAGCAATATTTATCAGAAGTCAACAAGAGGTCTCACGTTAATGCTACTGACATGCTTAATATATCTACTTGTAGCATGGGTTTGGAATTTCCAAAAAGGCGACGGAAAACTGAGTTATAACCGTTCCTACCACACACAGTTTTATTGAAACTGATAACTAAGGCAAGAAGTCATTATTTGTAAACATAGGAAAATACCTTTCATCATTAATTTCTTATTTAATTTCCAAATACGGTTTATTTTCAATTTCACATCAGAGAAGAAAAGAGGGTCAGTCATTTTAAATGCGTATATACATTAGAGTTGCTATTTATGTGACAAATGAAAAAAATCTGATACAGCTTTAAAACATCTTCCATGTAATATATTTTCTGACCTAAACGATATCTCATCTCACAGATGTTTTCAATGCGAGAAAGAAAGAAGTCTGAAGCTCTACACACACACCTATATCGCTTTTGTACACTGCAATAACACAACAAAACGGAACTGTTATCAAATAGAGGACAGCAATAAGCATCGCGAACAGAAAGGAAGTTAGGTGTTGACAGTTTTTGATTGTGTGATAAATTCCTAGACCTGTGTAGCTAATACAAAGTTTCATTTTTTCGTTTTAAATTTCTGGGATATGAGATTCTTGTAAACTTGTTATATCGTATAAGGAGACAAAAACAAAATAAAGTTACATTATTATGCATATTTCTAATCCGCCAAGTATTGTAAATCACATATTGTTATGATTATATTTGTCAAATAAATCCATTAAAAATAATTTTGAAAAATAAAATATCAAAAGGCAATCAAATCAATATCAAATTTCAATATCATAAACATTTTGAGTACTATGAATAATAAGTTTTGATATATGAGTATAAACAGGCAAATAATAATAAAGACAGCGTCATATTGCTTGTAATGTGGATATATTCCATATTGCTGATATTCAAACACTATAATTGGAATAACATAATAATAGGAATCGTACACTGAGGTTCTGTTATTAAAAACACTTTGATTTCGAGGAATTTAAATCGATACAACGTTTGTCCACCTCTTAAGTTAAGCTAGGCCTCTTGGAAGAAGAGAGATCTGAAAATGCGGTTGCGTCTTTTGACCGTGAACCTGTTGTTGAATCGTATCTGGTGTGATCTTTCTTCTTTTCACAACACATAGCTGTCCATTCCTTTCTGACTTGTGGGTCGCGGGTGATAAACAGCAAGAAGATAAAAAATCCTTGAAACGCGTTGCAAATGGTAAATATGTATTGAAATGGAATTCGCGCGTCCTCGATTGCCATATATCCAAATATCCAGGTGAGACCTAACGAGATCAAAGGATGGATTTATTAGCTCGATGGGACAAAATTTGAATATCAGATGTAAAAATTGCACAGTAAAACATATACAGTTCACCGCCATGTACTCTTAGGCCATCATGCAGCTTTACTTTGATGATAATAAAAAATATTTGGCCTATCATAATGAAGTATGTATTCTTTTGTGCCATAAAATATTTTTCAAAATAAAAGTATGTATTTGATAGGAGGTAACGCAGAACTTTAATGTAACAAGCAGTATTTAGCTTTTCGGCAAGTACAAAGTGATGCAATGCAGACCGAAATAGGTCCTTTTGACGTAAGCGAATGTGGCATAGCAGTAAAGAGGCTTCGGCAAGTACAAAGTGATGCAATGCAGACAGAAATAGGTCCTTTTGACGTAAGCGAATGTGGCATAGCAGTAAAGAGGCTTCGGTATTGCAAATCATACAAAGCGTTTTGTCTAAACTATTTTCATCATTTTCAGCGACATACGTAACAAAAGATAAAATAAATAACAAGAAACAAAAACAAAGCAATAAATAATTTGTTTATAAAAACAAGGTATAAGTATGTACGCCTCTAGCAGCGTAACGTTGATCTCATTAGATATATACATTAAGCACAAGAAAACGTAATAAAAATTATTTGTGTATAGCATAACTTAGGTACTGTGACAGCTCTTATGATTTTCAATGTAATTGATGAAAATAAATGAATAAGTGGTGAAGGAATACACCAACGCGGTAAGCAAAACCATTTATAATACAATATATCATATTCTGAATTTTAATTACAACAGGTTTACTTCCTAACTGGTATGTGAACCTACGGTACTCAATATACAGATCACAACAACAAGCAACGTCAGACATTGATAGCCCATTGATGAAAAGGTAAAGGACAACCCAGGAATTTAAAATTGATAAACAACATGATTACAGCAAACTTCGACACCTCGGTGCATAACATTACAGGCAAGAACGGTGTTAATAGTCCACCAGTACAAGGAATTGTCGATAATGTAATTCAATAGATAACTTAAGAAATATGTAGCAAAGAACGTTATGCTTATAACCAATTAATGACATTTCTTTTGTAATTGATGCTAGATACAATAGAAAAGAACAGAATCAGTGGTCGTTTGATTGGGAAGCGGTCTGTTTCCTTAAGCGATATGAAATTGCACGTGTATAACGTTCGTTATTTTTTTTTAAAACTATTTCTGCTATGGAAAATTGACATGACTAACTTACTCTTCCAGAACATCTTGGTTTGTAAATTTTCAGGAGTTTCTGCGTTCTTTTGTTCATATAGTTTCATGTATAAGGATTTATGAATTACGGAAATCGAATCTGTGCTAATAAAGCAAAAACTGACAAATGGAAGTGCTGAAAGAAACTAGTGTCGAAAACGAGATTGCTTTGTTAGTGCAATAGAAAAAAAAAGTTTACTAGTTGAATAGAAAAATGTGCTTACCCAACAGGACAAATATGGAAATTGCTGCCCAGAAATTCATCAGAGCCCGTTTCCGTTCCGACTGGTTAGATTGCAGACCTGCTGGTCTACGCAAGATGTTAACGATGACCAGAATAAAGACGATAATGTTGATCAAAATGACCAGTCCAACGGGCAAAGCAAATGCATAGTAAAAGGGTTGAAGTGACATCCAGCAGCTGTAACAAACATAAAGTTTATGTAAAACTGTTCCGCGAATGTCTGCTAACGACTCAACACATGGAATAAACAGAATAGTGCATTTGAAATATTTAACAAGATATCATAAAATTCAATATCTTAATTACAGACGATTGGAAAAGATATTAAAATGACGATGACGGCGATGATAATGGTGGTAATACTGTGTTTAAGCCCTCCTGTGTGTTGATGAGTATTAAGTCAGGTAGATCACTGGACATGTGTTTTAGACCTTGGCCGTTTGTATATATACGAAAACATGGATGTATATGTGGTATTATGTTGGACACCTCAGTATAGCATCTACTCAAATTTTCTTTGAACGGAGTTTAAGTTTCTATTTGCTTAGTGAGTGATATCTTTGCCTTTGTAGCACATTATTTAAATTACTACGCCACTACAATTATACCAACAAGGTTTTCTGTAAAAGAAGAGAACAAAAACCTACAATTCAGTCGAGTGGCAAGGTGGGTACACTGAAGCCTTTATCAAAAGTGATTAATAAGTTGATATAATGGTTTTTTTCTGATTGATTTGGTTATAGTTAAATTTATAAATACGCATATAAATAAAATAAAATAATTACAATTTATAAATTGAACATATGTTCCTCACAAAATATACTTACTAGTAAACACCGCCGTCGTACAGACGATAGTCAATAGCGCACACTACAATCACTGGTATAGTAGGCACACCTGTATAGAATAATTCAATGTTTTCCAAAGATTCGGTGACACATGATTGACATACCATTCAATGAAGGAATATGTTCGAAAATAACAAAAAAAAGATTGTCATCGGTTTTGTATGAGAGGGAAAAGAAATTATGATAACTTTTACACAAGATCACCATGTTTTGTTAGATACTTTTACTGATATTCTTGAAATATTCGCTTAACAAAAGTGACGTCATATTTTATTTGATTACGCCACAATATGAAACTAGTTTCATGCACAACACGTATAATCAATTATCAACATAAAGACACTGCAATAATTTTCTGATCAGGTCAGTGATATTATTTGTCTTGTAATTTTAATATAACAAGGTAAAACCGGGATACAAAGCCTTACATTAAATCTAGCACCTTAACGATCTTCACATGAACCGTCAGGTAAGATAGTTTATTCTTAAGAATGTTTTCAGGAAATGCTAAATACAGTGTCAAATCGTTTATTGATCCAGGAAAAAATGAACATTACATAAACAGAAAGCAAATAACAGCTTACCCCAAGCAAAGATTGACGCCTTCAGCATAAACCTTGGAATGTATGTTCCCAGAACTTTGACGAAACGGAGGTACTGCAGCAAGCCTTCAACTAGTAGCCACATAAAGGTGACAAGAATAAAGTAATGCAGAAGTATAGCTACTGCTATACATCCGTTGTAATCCGATGTTTGTTCGACTCCTGCCAGGAATACCACCCATGAACAAAGCATAGATATAGCCAACTGAAATAATACTTTCTGTCCTCGGGTTTTCCGCAATGGCCTGTAAAAGTTATGATGTATTTACAATTATTATAAAAATAGTAAATATTGGTATTATTTAAATATATCATATAAGTCAACTGACTAACAAGATCGTGACACAAGGATTCAAAAGCTACAGGTTAATGAAAACTATGTGGAAGGTTTATGGTTGCCATAGTGATCTCATTGAGAAAGATTTTATTGCTTTATGCGACATGAAGCTGGACGTATTACTTGTTAGTTTGCCTGTTGGTTCCGCTGTTGTGTACCTTGTTCTCATTTGTGAACTTGACTTGCTTATTTGGATTGACCAAGGTTTACATGGCGGGTGTCGTCGATGAAGCAGAAGACGCTTACTCTTCCAGAACACCTGGTACTTTTTCAGGAGTCTACGCGTCAATTTTTCTTTTGTTCATATTTTGTTTTCATTTTTATGGATTTTGAGTTTGAGTAATGAATATGTTGCCATGTTAGTATTTTCTTGGTTTTTTGTCTCACTTCATCATTTGCTTTAATGAAAAAGACGTTGATTATGTAACGATGGTTTGAAGCATAATTGTTTTCTAGGAAGCAGCAAAATAAATGACTAAGTTATGATCGCATGAAAAAATGACTTACTTGAATATGAGGAAGCAGATGACCGTAAAGCTCAAACCTATGATTGACAACACAAGCCCAACGATTGTGATGACACTTAAAGCGAGCTGATGGGCTTCCACGTAATTCCCCTGTGCTTCAAAATCCTTAAATGAATATCAAACAAATATGAAGCATTTCGATATGTCTATACCGATGAAATTTGAGTTTTGAAAATGCTATCGAATGGTTATAAAAGTAGATGAGTTTAAATTATAATTTGTTAGAGAAGTATAAAAATATAAGTTCTGCTAATATTCAATAAAATATTTTTTCCAGTTTTCATAACCGCTATTATTAGAAGTAAAAGAAAACTCACTATAAGAATGGCAAAGTTCGTGAGATGGTCACACACACATATTGCTCTCTCTCCCGTCTGGCTTTGTAGCCTGCATCCTTCAGTTGCCCAGCCGCCAGAGTTATCGTTCTTCTCATAATCCCAATATCCACAGACAAGCCCTTCCGTTTGCTTTTGAGATATGATATACAGAATGTAATATAGGTCACTTCAATCAAAATACCTATTTCAGCAACGCGTAAACGAGTTTTCATTTATTTATCTGATACGGGATAATTTGTTTGTTTTATTCCCATTTGCGATATGAAGTTAGACGTGTTTGATGTTCGTTAGTATGGTCATTGATTTCGTTGTTGTTAACCTTGTTCTCGTTAATCACTTGGATAGACTATGATTAACATATTCGGTTGTCGTCTATGAAGCAAAAGAAGCTTGCCCTTTGGAAACATATCGTCTTAATCTTCGCATACTTTTTCAATGGTCTAAATTTTGTTGTTTGTTTTTTCTTTGTTGTTTTGATTTTGCTGCGTTAAACGCTCCCATGAACAGCAAGTTTACGGTGGAGTTTCTAGTAGTCACTTGTGGCAAGTGTCATCAATTTATCTTTAATAGGGCAAGAGCGTTGTAAACAAATTCGGTCAATATGTGTATAATGCTTGTAGTTTTACACAGAAAAGCGAGTTTCCTAGTATGTGTGATATTAAAGTTAATGTATTGCTAGTCCGATGTCAATGGTGGTGCAGCCTAGCAAAGGAAAGCAGCATATCATATAGATATGGACGATAGATCCAGTGTTATTGACTGTTATAAGCTTTTAAAATTTAATAGTATGTTATAATTCAAATTACCGAGAACTTTTTACTCCATAAACATATTCACAACTTTTGTTGTTTTAAGTGTCATGATCAAAAGGGAAAATTATGAATGATTTTATACTATATATAAAAACGTATTTTTCTCTCTAAACATCAATTACCTGAAATGGCTTAAATATGGTTTTCACTTGGTTTTGGCCCAGGTCCAATATTCTTATCTGATCTTGAGTGAGTGTTGCTGCAGCAATGTTACCATGTGCTACAAAACGTTTCTTGGAACTGATGGTTTTGAACAACTTCGTAGAAGGATAGATCTGCAGGAGCAGGCGGTTCGTATTGGCACCTACAGATTTGATTAATTATCATAATGAATCTTAATATATAACGAAAACAGTTAATTACAAATCAAATATTCAATATTGATTAAATATTTAAATTATAAAAATATCGTTAACTTTGGTATCGTTGCCAGGTTAATATATTATATATTTATATATATATTTCGTATCTTTGTTTAGTACCGTTGATGAAACTAACAACTTTACATAAGTGTAATCTTACTTACTTTGAAGTAAAGACTTCGGCAGTATTATCGCAGCATCAGTAACAGAGATATCAATGTTCGCTTCATCCTCTAATACAATGAGGGAGTTGTTTGTTATTGTTGTAGTCTCAGAAGAATATTTGTATTGAAGACCGACCACTAAGTTCGAGTCGCCTGTGAACTGCCTGATCTCGGAGGCAACAAATGGACGAACAATACTTGCTGAATTTGTCTGATCAAGAATTATGTTGTTAGTAATGGTTTCCAGTGCCTCGACAAGCCTGTATAAATCAAAATGAAAGTTTCTTATGTTCTTTATTAATAAGTTCGTATTTGCACTGTTGTTTGTTTGAAAGGTGAAAAGTCTGCTGGTATTTTCTTACCCTTTATTTGTTTGAAATACTTAAATATTCTTTTTCATTAAAAGACGCGTTCTGCTTCTGCAAATTCTTTTTAATGAGAACAACAGCATCATATAGGCGTTGATATTGTTTATGCAATTAAAAAAATAATCAGAATTAAAATTATACCTCGTAGTTCCACTTCCGGTGTCCTGCGCTTGCGTCAATATGTCATTACTTAAACCTATCATGGTATTTACAATATCAGCAGCTGTCTCAACATCCTGCAATAAGACTGTATTTCAATCAGTCGCCACGTTAAGGACGAGGTCATACAAATTGTTTGAATCTATGTTGATTTTTTATCCTCTTACATGTAATATAACGATAGAATCAAAGCTCATAAGTCTGACATACACAAGCGAAAACAGATATAGAGATGCTGAAACAAATTAAAATGTACGTGATTAAGTTTATCTCTTCCCCTTTATTTATTCAGGCGATAAACTTAACGTGATGCAATTTAACTGACACATTATGAACTCTCACATTAATTGCAGAATGTTTCACCATTGCATTGAGTTCCATAAGAACTTTGTTAAACATAAGTCGATTATAAAAAATGAAACAAAATTGTCAAAATGATGAGCTAAGTAATGATTACATCAATATACATAACGACTATTAGCTATTACTGACCTTTTTGTCGAATCTATCTGTAGATGCGGCCACACTGGTCAATATTGATGCCGTATATATCACGTCCAGACTCGATAGGTTATCTACACGAGTAAGGTTGTAGGTTTCGTCCAATGTCTCGGTCACATTGGCAGCAGTGATGTTGACCTATATTATTTGAGACGGACAATATAAGATATCTCTGAACAAGAAGGCATCGTGGAAGAAACTATTTACAAAGGAGCACACATATATATAACAAATATATATACAACAAAACGATTTCAGAATACTGTCATGAACCACCCACTCTCGTGTATGGACAGACGTGAGAAGTGTGCTGGATTTACTCTTATGTTAAGTCTTTCTTCACATTAAAATACTAGTGTGACAATGTCTTTCAAATCATTTTTACTGAGTACCTACACAAAAAGAACATTTGTTCTCATTAATTATTCATTTCTGCGAAAAGCAGCCTACATTGCTTACCTCTGCCAGTGTTTGCAAAGTTTGCGTTGAAGAGCTAGAATCCGTAGTAGTATCAAAGACACACTTCTGGTTGATCCTAATTTCCCCATAAGATGCCCCACTATAAAATGATCCAATGCACGTGACATTTGCTAATGGTCGTCTATCTGCATGAAGACACATTTCAAATCTGACTCCTTATTAGCAATATGGAAGTACTCTACCCGTAATATTGCGCAAAATATTAATAATCGATATTGTATGACATTGCCCGCTAATGCAGCTCATCCGCCTCCGACATACCGTATAGGACGAAATTTTCTTAAGGATAATGTCGTTATTTCGTTAAAATCAAATACGATCATTTTAAAGCAAAGTCGTTAAAAGTTTGATTTGTGAAACTTACAGCAAAACGGCCTTACAACTAGCTAATGGTAAATGAATAGGTTAGTGATGGTGATAGTGACGGTACAGTATAAATAACCAATATATGTTGACTGAAATCTAAAACAGCTGAATGCAATTATTTTGTTTATGGTACAATATTGTATTGAACATAAACTATGTAATTGGGGTTTCTTTAAAATGAAATTTACGCATACATGAAAATATATTTTGTTATATTTTTTTTCAAATATTCAAATACAGGGGGGCATGGTAACATATGTTTACAACTAGATTTAAATAATCTGAAACTGATTCTCAATTACTTTATGTAATGTGAAAAGTACCTACAAAGGAATCGAAAGTAACGATCATGTATTCAAAATTAGCAAGGGCTACTATTAAGTGTGTTCCTTCAAAAGTCTTATAGACTTACCCGTGATACAAATCTCCTTTGATGATGCTACGGCACCTGCTAGCACAGCTCCAAAGCCAATGCTTCTCATCAAATCTAAGTCATAGACATCGAACGGCGTGCAGGATTCTGTATCAAAAGAGGACTTGTATGAAAGTATAATAAAAAGACTTATCCTAATATCAAAATTTTCGTGTATGGAGTCGTCAACTGACAGGGAAACTCATTATACAGTGTTTCAAAAGACGCAAATTGGGATAATTTTAGGTTGCCACACTGATCTCTTCGAGAATCATTCTATTTCGTAGCGCGAGATGTTAACCTGAATGTATTTGATGCTCGTTAGTTTGCCAGTTGTTTTCGTTGTAGTATTCCCGGTTCTCATTGTACAAAGTGACACTACTCATTTTGATCGACTAAGATTTATCTGATGGATGTCGTCGATGAATCAGAAGACGCTTACTCTTCCGAAACACTTGGTCTTATTCTCCATGTACTTTTTCATTTCAGGAGTTTCTTTGTAAAGTCTTCTTTTGTTCATGTTTCGACCTTGTTTTATGGAATATGAGTTTCGATTAAGCTCATGCCGATTAATTGGTATTTTCTTGTTTTTGATGCAACTCATGTTGAAGAAACCAGTAAAATGATACGTATATATTTCAGCTGAACACGAGATTGATGAAAATCCATAGAATCAGGATTTAGAACTTTTGTATGTCCAAATGACCGTACCTAATTGAAGATAATACTCTTATTCGTTTCAAACAAAGGCAAAACGACTTCGGAGGACAAATGAAGGTCATCTATTAGTTTGAACGTGTGATAAGATGACAAAATAAACAAGCATAATAATACTAGGATTATCCAAAACAGGGAAAACAATAACAGGGAGAAAGAACAAGAAAATCAGAGTGAAAGTAACAAAGAAACACGCACCAAAAATAATTCAGTAATAACAAAATAGAATGGGATAGAACTGAGATTTCAACAAGGAATCTACAAGAACACACATTTATGAATAGTGAAAAAGTATCAGTGAAACTGATGAAAGTCCTCGAAAACAACTTCAAACTTTTAAAGGGCACTAACTCTGTAAATAAAGGGTTTCAGGCCCTGAATTTGGTATAGAACATGTATGAACATGTATGACTAATGTATAAACCAAGGTTCATTATCCTAGTCTAAATGCTAGCAAAGTAAATGATCCGGACACAGACTTTCGACAAAAGGCAATTACTCTGTAATTAACGGGTCAAAGGTGAACATTTCTGTGGAGCAATAAAACATATGTAGAAAGATCATGTGTGAAAAGATATGAAGGCAACGCAAACAGTGCTTACAGGTACTTCACAGGACAATACGAAAAAAGTGCTTACCAGGACTTAACAGGATATTACAAATCGTGCTAACAGGTACTTCACAGGACAATACGAAAAAAGTGCTTACCATGACTTAACAGGATATTACAAATCGTACTTACAGGTACTTCACAGGACAAAACAAAAAAGTGCTTACCAGGACTTAACAGGATATTACAAATCGTGCTTACAGGTTCTTCAGAGGACAAAACAAAAAAGTGCTTACCAGGACTTAACAGGATATTACAAATCGTGCTAACAGGTACTTCACAGGACAATACGAAAAAAGTGCTTACCACGACTTAACAGGATATTACAAATCATGCTTACAGGTACTTCACAGGACAATACAAAAAAGTGCTTACCAGGACTTAACAGGATATTACAAATCATGCTTACAGGTACTTCACAGGACAATACAAAAAAGTGCTTACCAGGACTTAACAGGATATTACAAATCGTGCTAACAGGTACTTCACAGGACAATACAAAAAAGTGCTTACCAGGACTTAACAGGATATTACAAATCATGCGTACAGGTACTTCACAGGACAATACAAAAAAGTGCTTACCAGGATTAAACAGGATATTACAAATCGTGCTAACAGGTACATGTACTTCACAGGACAATACGAAAAAAGTGCTTACCGTGACTTAACAGGATATTACAAATCGTGCTAACAGGTACTTCACAGGACAATACAAAAAAAGTGCTTACCACGACTTAACAGGATATTACAAATCGTGCTAACAGGTACTTCACAGGACAATACAAAAAAGTGCTTACCAGGACTTAACAGGATATTACAAATCGTACTTACAGGTACTTCACAGGACAAAACAAAAAAGTGCTTACCAGGACTTAACAGGATATTACAAATCGTGCTAACAGGTTCTTCACAGGACAATACGAAAAAAGTGCTTACCACGACTTAACAGGATATTACAAATCGTGCTAACAGGTACTTCACAGGACAATACAAAAAAGTGCTTACCAGGACTTAACAGGATATTACAAATCATGCGTACAGGTACTTCACAGGACAATACAAAAAAGTGCTTACCAGGATTAAACAGGATATTACAAATCGTGCTAACAGGTACATGTACTTCACAGGACAATACGAAAAAAGTGCTTACCAGGACTTAACAGGATATTACAAATCGTACTTACAGGTACTTCACAGGACAATACGAAAAAAGTGCTTACCACGACTTAACAGGATATTACAAATCGTGCTAACAGGTACATGTACTTCACAGGACAAAACAAAAAAGTGCTTACCACGACTTAACAGGATATTACAAATCGTGCTAACAGGTACTTCACAGGACAATACGAAAAAAGTGCTTACCGTGACTTAACAGGATATTACAAATCATGCTTACAGGTACTTCACAGGACAATACAAAAAAGTGCTTACCAGGATTAAACAGGATATTACAAATCGTGCTAACAGGTACATGTACTTCACAGGACAATACGAAAAAAGTGCTTACCGTGACTTAACAGGATATTACAAATCGTGCTAACAGGTACTTCACAGGACAATACAAAAAAGTGCTTACCAGGACTTAACAGGATATTACAAATCATGCTTACAGGTACTTCACAGGACAATACAAAAAAGTGCTTACCAGGACTTAACAGGATATTACAAATCGTGCTAACATGTACTTCACAGGACAATACAAAAAGTGCTTACCAGGACTTAACAGGATATTACAAATCGTGCTTACAAGTACTTAACAGGACAAAACAAATAGTGCTTAATGTTATTCAACATGACAATAGAATAGTGCTTACCTGTGCTGAACATGACAATATTTGGCAAGAACATTCCTCCTTGTCTTTTCCTTCTCCTCGATGGCGAACTACCGAGAACAGTCTCGATCGTTTCTTTCAACTTGTTCAAAACAAATTGGTCTTTTCCTACTGTAAACCATCCAGGCTGTTCCATAACAAGGGTGTTTATTAGGAAATAAAAAGAAAAACCAACAGAGAGGCCATCTTCACTGAAACAATAAAAACAATAGTTTACAGTCTTTCATAATTAACCGACTGTCTTATATTAAGTGTTCGAAGAAGATTTAACTGACACCAAGTATCATGGAATAACTGTACAAAAAAACAAAAAAAACAAAAACAAAAAACAAAAAAACAAAAAACAAAAAAAAAACATACCACTTGGCTAAGAATCCGTTTGTTTTTAAGCGAGGTATGTTCCACACATTCCTATCTTGTCACTTACCAGTCTAAGACTGTGCAGCATTATGGTGTATCCAAATCTGTTATTTTGACAATAACCAGTTATTAATACAAATCTAATATTGAAAAGTAGCTTTCATCTTTTCTATAGTTTGTAAAGGTACTTTCCCTGAAGGATATGTGAAAGAAAAGTGTGTTCAACCATTTCTTCGGATTATGATGATTTTCACATTAAAAAGTAACTTAACGGCAAATAATCAAGATGTTGCTGCATTCATGTCTCCGCTACGGTCATTAAAACATATTTTATTAGGCAATTATCACTTTTACAATTCGTATTTTCGTAAATAGGCATTCGTAGTTATAATCAATAGAGGTAGACAGAATAGGACTGATATATGTATGTGTTTATTGTATTGTTTTAGGTTTGAAGCAGCAATTTTAAATTAAACGGGACTGATAACACTGTCTGTTGTTGTAGTTTAGCATATTTGACCCCTTATCATTGAGAAGATGTCATTTAAAGACTTTAACACATTTGACACTTGTGACCGTGAAAATAGTTCAAGGTCATTCATTTGAACAAACGTGGTAGCCCTTCATCCCATCATGCTACCGGCATAATATTATGATCCTGGGCCATTTGGTTATTGAGATGTCATTTACAATTTTTTAACACATTTGACCCCCGTAACCTTGAAAATAGGTCAAGGTCATTCATTTAGCCCAACTTATAAACACTTTATCCCTGCATTCTATTGGTTTATCAGAAGAAGTCATTTAACGATTTGAACACATTTAATCCTGTGACCTTGAAAATCGTATCCCTTTATCCCAGCATGCTTCTGGCCTAATGTCATCATCATTAACCATTTTGGCTATTGAGAGGAAGTCGTTGAAAGGTTTTAACACATTCATTTAAACATTCTTAGTAATCCTTTATCCCAGCATACTACTGGCTCAATACCATCACCCTGGGCTTTTGGTTTTTGAAAAGAAGTTGGAATGTTAATTATTAATGACGCACGACGGATGACGCCGGACATAAGGCGATCGTAATAGGTCACTTAAGACGTCAACTCAGAAGACCTAAAAATATTAAATTTTCAATTAAAGTTACCAGCTAAACAGCAAAATAAGTAATTAATTCTACTTTTGAAAATTTGAAAATATTTGAAATCATATATTTGACAATATCCTTAATTCGAGTTTTTGAAATAACTTTTTGCTATATTAGGTATTTAGAAAATGTTATTGTTTTGCTTTGTAAATTTCACGCAATAAGTAATTTCCAGAAATCATGATAAACAGCACTATTAACAAAACTCTTGAAATTTTTGTAACGTTTTAAACAAATTAAGTTTAAAAGTCTCCAAAACTTTATGATAGTAATTTTCTACTATTTCAAATTATGTTTACTTAATGTCTTGTATATAATATCGAACATTTTGTAACTATTCGCGCGTGAAGAAAGTTTGACGGTGCACATATTACGAGATGAAATAAGAATCAAGTCAATGTATGATATCAGAAACACACAATAAATGATTGAGGATATATTCCGTATAATTCTAAAAAATGCATTACCTGATTTTCTCAATTTTGTAATTTCCACGTACAAAATCTCGAGTAAACAAAATGGGAGCTTCTTGGAGGACACTGATTTGTTGAACTGCATTACCAAATAAGGAACCGAGAATTTCGGTGATAAAGGAAGCTCTCTGCAAGTATTTGCTCGCCTGCCAAAACCCGAGATTATGGAGAGAGATGGTAAGCTTGTCTTGTGGGATACTAAAATTCACATACCCACGATATATTAATTGAGACCATCCTACAAATAAGAAATAGACGATGTTAATAATTAACAAAAGGTTTGTATGCATATTTTCAAACGTCAAAAAATCGCCATCAAAAAGATCCGAAATACGAATCCACAAGAACGTCAAATATAAAATCATTTTCAGGTAAAAACAAAATGCTTTATTTTAGTCCATTCACATCACGTTTCATTTCAACATCAATTTTATACAACGACGGAGGCAACCTGCATAGTCTACCAATCAGTGTACACTCCCTTGTATCTATATCTACCACCTAGTGTACAATCCCTTGTATCTATATCTACCACCTAGTGTACAATCACTTGTATCTATATCCACCTTCCAGTGTACAATCCCTTGAATCTTTATCTACCTTCCAGTGTACAATCCCTTGTATCTATATCTACCACACAGTGTACAATCACTTGTATCTATATCTACCTTCCAGTGTACAATCCCTTGTATCTATATCCACCTTCCAGTGTACAATCCCTTGTATCTATATCCACCTTCCAGTGTACAATCCCTTGTATCTATATCCACCTTCCAGTGTACAATCCCTTGTATCTATATCCACCTTCCAGTGTACAATCCCTTGTATCTATATCCACCTTCCAGTGTACAATCACTTGTATCTATATCCACCTTCCAGTGTACAATCACTTGTATCTATATCCACCTTCCAGTGTACAATCCCTTGTATCTATATCCACCTTCCAGTGTACAATCCCTTGTATCTATATCCACCTTCCAGTGTACAATCACTTGTATCTATATCCACCTTCCAGTGTACAATCCCTTGTATCTATATCCACCTTCCAGTGTACAATCACTTGTATCTATATCCACCTTCCAGTGTACAATCCCTTGTATCTATATCTACCTTCAAGTGTACAATCCCTTGTATCTATATCTACCACACAGTGTACAATCTCTTGTATCTATATCTACCACACAGTGTACAATCACTTGTATCTATATCCACCTTCCAGTGTACAATCCCTTGAATCTTTATCTACCTTCAAGTGTACAATCCCTTGTATCTATATCTACCACACAGTGTACAATCTCTTGTATCTATATCTACCACACAGTGTACAATCACTTGTATCTATATCTACCTTCCAGTGTACAATCCCTTGTATCTATATCTACCTTCCAGTGTACAATCACTTGTATCTATATCTACCACACAGTGTACAATTTCTTGTATCTATATCTACCTTCCAGTGTACAATCTCTTGTATCTATATCTACCACACAGTGTACAATTCCTTGTATCTATATCTATCCCACAGTGTACAATCCCTTGTATCTAAATCTAACACACAGTGTACAATCACTTGTATCTATATCCACCTTCCAGTGTACAATCACTTGTATCTATATCTAACTTCCAGTGTACAATCCCTTGTATCTATATCCACCTTCCAGTGTACAATCCCTTGTATCTATATCCACCTTCCAGTGTACAATCCCTTGTATCTATATCCACCTTCCAGTGTACAATCACTTGTATCTATATCCACCTTCCAGTGTACAATCTCTTGTATCTATAGCTACCTTCCAGTGTACAATCCCTTGTATCTATATCCACCTTCCAGTGTACAATCACTTGTATCTATATCCACCTTCCAGTGTACAATCCCTTGTATCTATATCTATCTTCCAGTGTACAATCCCTTGTATCTATATCTACCACACAGTGTACAATCACTTGTATCTATATCTACCACACAGTGTACAATCCCTTGTGTCTATATCTACCTTCCAGTGTACAATCTCTTGTATCTATATCTACCACACAGTGTACAATTCCTTGTATCTATATCTACCACACAGTGTACAATCCCTTGTATCTATATCTAACACACAGTGTACAATCTCTTGTATCTATATCTACCTTCCAGTATACAATCCCTTGTATCTATATCTACCACACAGTGTACAATCCCTTGTATCTATATCTACCTTCCAGTGTACAATCTCTTGTATCTATATCTACCACACAGTGTACAATTCCTTGTATCTATATCTACCACACAGTGTACAATCCCTTGTATCTATATCTAACACACAGTGTACAATCACTTGTATCTATATCCACCTTCCAGTGTACAATCACTTGTATCTATATCTAACTTCCAGTGTACAATCCCTTGTATCTATATCCACCTTCCAGTGTACAATCACTTGTATCTGTTTCCACCTTCCAGTGTACAATCCCTTGTATCTATATCCACCTTCCAGTGTACAATCTCTTGTATCTATATCTACCTTCCAGTGTACAATCCCTTGTATCTATATCTACCTTCCAGTGTACAATCCCTTGTATCTATATCCACCTTCCAGTGTACAATCCCTTGTATCTATATCCACCTTCCAGTGTACAATCCCTTGTATCTATATCCACCTTCCAGTGTACAATCTCTTGTATCTATATCTACCTTCCAGTGTACAATCCCTTGTATCTATATCTACCTTCCAGTGTACAATCCCTTGTATCTATATCCACCTTCCAGTGTACAATCCCTTGTATCTATATCTACCTTCCAGTGTACAATCCCTTGTATCTATATCTACCTTCCAGTGTACAATCCCTTGTATCTATATCTACCTTCCAGTGTACAACCCCTTGTATCTATATCTACCTTCCAGTGTACAATCCCTTGTATCTATATCTGTCTCCAAGAGTAAATCTCTCCAATCTGTGTCTGTCACCTAATGTCTTCTGGGTTTTAGTTAAGTATATTAATGAAAATATAACGAAAAATTGTTATCTCAATCCAAAATTGTCATTTCTCTATTAAGTCGATAATAATTGTAGGCATACGTACGTGTAAATGAAAATCTGATTGTATCGGACCGAGATCTTTCGGAAGTTCTAGTACTTTGTAATTCACACCAGTAATCAGCAATAGCTCTGTCGTCAAAAGATTGTGTTTCTGATATAGAACCGTTTGTCTCAATAAGGAACGGATCCTGTGGGACACCATCACGATAAATCACTATTTTCTCAAATTCTCTTAAATTCCTGTTTAAACGACACTGAATGTAAACATCCATGGCGTTAGTTGCACCTTCTGTTGATTGTAAAATAGGTTTATCATCATCTGTAACAGATAAATACCTAGTTAAATGCCAATGTATAAAAAGAACGTGTATTTTATGTCTTAAAGTACCACCGCTTTGTTAGACCTATATCGACACGAGATTCGTGCAAAATATCATAGGTGGTCGGGTGGTGCAGTGGTAACGCTCTCGCCTCTCACCTAGACGTCCGGGGTTCGATTCCCGAAATGGATGTGAAAAGGTATGGGGTCACCTGCCCGACCACGTGGGTTTTCCCCGTGTATTCCGGTTTCCTCCCACCCTAAGACCCCTCGCGCGCTTCAATCCGTGCCAACAAGAGTGATTAATATAAGTTAGAAAAATTTGCTTCGCAATTGTTGGAAAATAAATACAGATTATTCATTTATTTATTTATCAATGGAACAAAACATTCTGAACGAGGAGACTCTGTAAATATCGCATAAGATAGTGTAAATATTTTTTGAAAGTGCCCGAAAATTGCCATGTTTTTATAGCTATTGATAAACATACAATACCTTGAGCAGGCGGAGTAACGAGTTTTTTCTGACATATAACTCCTATCTGTGTGTCACAAGGTATTTGGTCGATGTAAACATCATTCATGTTCAAGGTAAAACACAGATCCTGTCCATTGTCATTCCCTCCACCCGATCCGTCTACCATTCCTGTCATGGAGCTTCCGTTGATAAAGTAACTTCTTACCTCTATAATCAACAATATGAGAAATATACAGAAGCAGGTCTGTATACAAGTGGTATTTATTTCGCATATAAACGACAACGTTTTCCAACTGGAATAAATAAATAAATAAAAACAACGCCATCTCCGCTTAGTTTTGCGTCAAAATTTGGGAAAATAAATGTGTTTTCGTCAAAAGATGTTATATATATCCATCCCTAAGATTTCACTATTGTCTATTCCTGTCTACCAAGCGTCATTGTAAATAAGTATGTAGCCAACATGTCCTCTGTAGGTAAAGAATTTGTGCAATGCGTTTTTATTTCATTTTTGTCATATTTGGGTAAGAGACATGTAACGTATTCACAAAATGTATTCAGGTATAGATAATTTTAATAAAATCTCTAATTTTACCATAACTGAAGCAGACAAAAGCAAAATGTTGATGGCTATGTTAATTATGACATCAACAGGAAGTAGAATAATCGAAAAGAATTCTTGAAAATTCTCTTCGTCATAAAATTTTATCTTTTTATTACATTCATATCGAAAACCAGGTATATATCGATAAAACATTACTTTAGGAGCGCCACTGAGAAAAGAAAAAAAGTAAATTATCAAGGATGTAAGGTACGGAAATACTGTGTTTTAACAATTAAACCCCAATCCAAAATATGTTGTAGTGGGACACAGATGTCAGAGGAACTGGGTCATTGCAATTGTTACACGTACTCATTAAAATGAAAATAATATTTCTTTATCTATAAAACTTTAGTTTTACTTTAACAATTTAGAACTAGACTGAGTTACTAAGTGAAATAATTATGTTATGTTGGGTGATTATAATAACTAGAGGCAGGGTCCATTAAACAGATGAATTGTGTTATTGCTGTTCATCACAATCCACAACACCCTGAAATCAAATTCTTTATCACATATGTATTTTACAGAGTATATGACAGCATTGTTAGGATTAAAAGCTTTTGAACACCTACCTGCTTCAAAAATTGATCCGGTATTTAACACTGTGCTTGACAATATGTCCTTGTTGGTACCATCATATATTGCAATCGCCCCGCCTTCCTTCTGGCACTTACTAACGGCCTCATTATATGCCATTGGCCTCTGGTACACCGTGTAACATAGCCCAGAGGACAGACTGCCATTTAAACATAGCGAGGCTGAAATCATAAAATGTATTTGATTTGTTCCATGACATAGAAACCCCTATAAACAAGTTCTCATTTCCATAACCACCGACATTTAACAGCAGTCCGATAAATAGATTTTAATTTTGATATTAATTCCAATTTTAGTCCTTATTCATAGTTCAGTGCCAACCAACAAATAATTTTACATTGAAATATTTATTTTCCTATCTGTTCTCGAGACAAAACAATAAGAACTGGATTAATGTAACAAAGATAACTGTTTTCGTAACTGCAGAAATTGATTCTTCCAGATTGCACATGGTAAATACGAATGGCAGTCTCCGATGATAGACGTAACCTGCATACCATGTTTAATTGTATTGGAAACGTGATACGATTCAGATAATAAACACATACCTGAAGCTGCTCTAAAATTATCATGTATATGAAAATTATAAAATTTATTGAATCATGGGGTTTGACATTCAATTCGATCTGATTGGATTTCCCCAGTCACCTCTTTGGCTCTAAATTGAACGTCTTTGCATCACTGAAGAGTCATAGAAGGGTGCAGCAAAGTACAATGAATTTTAATTCGTTGTTTGACTCTCCTTAAATATGCCTAACAAAGAGGGTCATGGCCCTTAACGATCAATAACGACAACAGACGAATTGTTTGACAAACCACAGAATTCACTGAATGTAGTCTGACAAAACTGGTGAATTAAAATTTTGGACATTTCATGAAAGTTTCAGAATTTATAAAGTAGGTTCTGTGCACGAAAAACAGTTGCAAAATCATGTTACAAAATGGCTGCTGTGGTTACAATGTTGCAAAAAAAACAACTTATCATCTCTTTAGTTTCCTTAACCAGTCAAACTCCAAATATTTGTTCTCTTTGGAGAACTTGAGAAGTAGTTCAGAGTATTTGTTCTAGATGAGTTATGTTGGATTTTGGATCAGGACGATATCAGAGTCACTTCATGCACATTTGATATCATTGCCACTCTTTAATGTATCAGGCCAAATTTGGTTGAAATCTACCTAGGCTTAAGAAGGAGTGGTGTTTTGAAGCAAAATATTGTCTAACTTCTCATTTTGGGGTCCCACCCCCAAGTTCCTAAGGGTCAAATTTATTGTCCAAATTCAAGAAATGATTCCTGATCCACTATGGTGTTTCATACTAAATTTGGTTGATATCAATTCAAACATTAAGGAAGAGTAGCGTTTTGAAACAAAATTATAGACTAACTTCCCCATTTGGGAACCCACTCCCAAGTCCCTTGGGGTCGAATCAACTTACTGAATTTAAGAAGTTATTCCCCAACCCCAATGATGTTTCAGACCAAATTTTGTTGAAATCCGCCAAGGTGTTAAGCAGGAGTGGTGTTTTAAAGGAAAAGTTTACGAACGTCGCACAACGATGGACAATGCACGATAGCATCTTTGAGTCAGACGACCTAGAAATTAACAATATCAAGCATTTTCCAGAGTGATTACATCTAATGACGGTTAACTGACAGGACATACTCTGAAATGGAAAAGTATCTGGTGCTGAGCAGAAGAACGGCAGGAGTCGATCGCAGCTCTCGAGGTAAGCAGTGTGATTTCCAGTGCCTCCAGTCATCATTTGACATCCGCTATCAAGCTTAGGTTCAGCACCTGCCCACTGCCAAGTTTTGGGTGATCTACAAATAAAAAGCATTTACTTGAAACAGAATACAAATAATAAAATCTCCAAAACTTATGAAATAAGAATCTTAATTGTTAATTTTTCAATTCTCTTCCGCTGAAAGATGTGTGTGTTATTTCGTTATTTATTATGTTAAGAATCAGTATCTTTAAACTAATAACTATTAATCAGGACATTCAATAAAACAAATGACAACATCATGAGTATTTCACTCAAATGATAATGATAAAATTTTCCTTTTCGAGCCGGATTGGTAGTTTTTATATCATGTCCCGTCTGCCTTTTGACATTAACTGTTTCGTATCCGTGTTGTTCAAAAGGGTAAACTGATACAAAATTCTACATTTGATGTTGTCTACAATATAGATTTCGTATACAGTTAACCTCGCCCCCTGTGTTTCATTATCTCAAACAACATCAGCTTTCATCATTTAAGAGAACTTATATTTCCTTTTATTGGAGACGATCAAGTCAGTTACCTGTTATAATAAGTTTCATTGACTCGTCTGGGTGGAACTCCGTCCAGAAGTGGTACCTTGAATCTGTCCTTGGTAACATACATCCCAGTCCAAAATTCTACGAAGAAATGTAGTACACATCATTGTTTTACGCTTTTTTCCATATTTGGTGTCTGAGAGATTATCATATTCATGACATTTATTGGGCTAGTGAACCTCCCCATCTAAGTATCGATAAGTCTTCCGATTATTCAGTCACCACCTAGGTTTCAAAACTTAGGCTCCTTATTATCACTGCCGAGTCTTAGAAGGACGAAACAGCTGTATGATGCAGTTTATTGCCTTTTTGGACTCTACTAGGTCTTCTCTTTATGAAATGGTGCTGCTATTCACCTGTGTACAGTCTTCGGTAGAAAAACGATAAATTCGTTTAACCACCGTTAACCGTATCATTGTTATTATTATTTTATTTCATTTTCAAGTCAATCAAGTCTGAATCAATAGGTCAATTAAACCATTACAATTTACCTATATAATCAAAGGTTGCAGGTGTGTTGCCATAACGATAGTCTGTGTCGAAACTCAAAAGATTTCCATGAAATATTCTGCACGTGCTGGAAGCTTCCTGCCACGACTTGGGCGTGCTGAATCCTTTGACGCACCGAACTGCACTTTTTAAAGTTTTATCGACCCTCAGCCATGTATTGTCAGGACAACTGGATGATATGAAAGCTGAAAATTTATTAAAAGGAGACAAAGTCACGAAAATATGATAAAAAACTATCTTATGAAACCAGAGTAACAGTAATTTTGTATTCTGTAATATTTGCAATACATTTAAAATTCAGCAAAATTCATGAAATACTGAAATCCAACATTATCACGATCTGAGCCAAAGAATTAAATGTTCGGCGCTTAAAAGATAACAATTACATTACTAAACAATGTAAAGGTCCATCAGTTAATAACGGATGTGCTTAGGAAGGTCAATAGTTAATGCTCTGGATGTGACCTCAGTTGATGACGTCAGACATCAGTATATAGTGGACGTACTTAGGAAGGTCAATAGTGAATGTTTTGGATGTGACCTCAGTTGATGACGTCAGATTTCAGTATATAGTGGACGTGCTTAGGAAGGTCAATAGTTAATGTTTTGGATGTGACCTCAGTTGATGACGTCAGACTTCAGTATATAGTGGACGTACTTAGGAAGGTCAATAGTTAATGTTTTGGATGTAACCACAGTTGATTACGTCAGACTCCAGTATATAGTGGACGTGCTTAGGAAGGTCAATAGTTAATGTTTTGGATGTGACCTCAGTTGATGACGTCAGACTTCAGTATATAGTGGACGTGCTTAGGAAGGTCAATAATTAATGTTTTGGATGTGACCTCAGTTGATGACGTCAGACTTCAGTAAATAGTGGACGTGCTTAGGAAGGTCAATAATTAATGCTCTGGATGTGACCTCAGTTGATGACGTCAGACATCAGTATATAGTGGACGTACTTAGGAAGGTCAATAGTGAATGTTTTGGATGTGACCTCAGTTGATGACGTCAGATTTCAGTATATAGTGGACGTGCTTAGGAAGGTCAATAATTAATGCTCTGGATGTGACCTCAGTTGATGATGTCAGACTTCAGTATATAGTGGACGTGCTTAGGAAGGTCAATAGTTAATGTTTTGGATGTGACCTCAGTTGATGACGTCAGACTTCAGTATATAGTGGACGTGCTTAGGAAGGTCAATAATTAATGTTTTGGATGTGACCTCAGTTGATGATGTCAGACTTCAGTATATAGTGGACGTGCTTAGGAAAGTCAATAGTTAATGTTTTGGATGTGACCTCAGTTGATGACGTCAGACTCCAGTTTATAGTGGACGTGCTTAGGAAGGTCAATAATTAATGTTCCGGATGTGACCTCAGTTGATGACGTCAGGCTCCCGTTTATAATGGACGTGCTTAGGAAGGTCAATAGTTAATGTTTTGGATGTGACCTCAGTTGATGACGTCATACTTCGGTATATAGTGGACGTGCTTAGGAAGGTCAATAATTAATGTTCTGGATGTGACCTCAGTTGATGACGTCAGACTTCAGTATAGAGTGGACGTGCTTAGGAAGGTCAATAATTAATGCTCTGGATGTGACCTCAGTTGATGACGTCAGACTTCAGTATATAGTGGACGTGCTTAGGAAGGTCAATAATTAATGTTTTGGATGTGACCTCAGTTGATGACGTCAGACTTCAGTATATAGTGGACGTGCTTAGGAAGGTCAATAATTAATGCTCTGGATGTGACCTCAGTTGATGACGTTAGACTTCGGTATATAATGGACGTGCATAGGAAGGTCAATAGTTAATGTTTTGGATGTGACCTCAGTTGATGACGTCAGACTCCAGTATATAGTTGACGTGCTTAGGAAGGTTGATAGTTAATGCTTTGGATGTGACCTCAGTTGATGACGTCAGACTTCAGTATATAGTGGACGTGCTTAAGAAGGTCAATAGTGAATGTTTTGGATGTGACCTCAGTTGATGACGTCAGCCTTCAGTATATAGTGGACGTGCTTAGGAAGGTCAATAGTTAATGTTTTGGATGTTACCTCAGTTGATGACGTCAGACTTCAGTATATAGTGGACGTGCTTAGGAAGGTCAATAATTAATGTTTTGGATGTGACCTCAGTTGATGACGTCAGACTTCAGTATATAGTGGACGTGCTTAGGAAGGTCAATAATTAATGCTCTGGATGTGACCTCAGTTGATGACTTTAGACTTCGGTATATAATGGACGTGCTTAGGAAGGTCAATAGTTAATGTTTTGGATGTGACCTCAGTTGATGACGTCAGACTCCAGTATATAGTTGACGTGCTTAGGAAGGTTGATAGTTAATGTTTTGGATGTGACCTCAGTTGATGACGTCAGACTCCAGTTTATAGGGGACGTGCTTAGGAAGGTCAATAATTAATGTTCTGGATGTGACCTCGGTTGATGAGGTCAGACTCCCGTTTATAATGGACGTGCTTAGGAAGGTCAATTGTTAATGTTTCGGATGTGACCTCAGTTGATGACGTCAGACTTCGGTATATAGTGGACGTGCTTAGGAAGGTCAATAATTAATGCTCTGGATGTGACCTCAGTTGATGACTTCAGACTCCCGTTTATAATGGACGTGCTTATGAAGGTCAATAGTTAATGTTTTGGATGTGACCTCAGTTGATGACGTCAGACTTCAGTATATAGTGGACGCTACTTCATCCATTTTGATTTTGAAGTAAGATTGTGATAACAAGTATGTGATTTTCTGTTGGTTGGGTATATTAAGTAAGCACCATTACGCTCTACCTGGATGTAAACAATATTCTGTGAATGCCAGACTTAAGTTGAATTTTTTATTTATGAGAGACGATATCAGGTACTCCAAACAGAAAACGAGATGTTGCTAATGATAACCACATGCATTGCACAATGCAGTTCTTAAAAGATTATATCGATAACACATTTAAGAACGATTTTTCTCTCTTTAAAACAACAATTAATCTAAAAAAAAAAAACCAAAAGAATTAGAAAGGCATGTATATTTGCGATAGAGCACCAGAAAATCAAAGTTCATATAATACAGAAATATTATATATTCCTTTTACTGATGAAAATCCTGTACAATTTCATCCATAGAAGTCATAGAGGAAAATAAGGATCTTAGATCGGATGAAACGACAGACTTAAATTAATGAAATGCATAATATGTACAGTTATGTAGTGTTGAGACGATACAAAAGGAAATTACCTATATTCAGAGTCATTACAATCAGAGGCAAAGTTGATACCGCCATGGTTCGTTGGTGTTCTGACAGCCGCTCAAGTCACCCACTGTAACGGTTACATTAAAATATATATCAATTCTGATTTATCAATGATAAAGCTGTGTAAAACATGAATGTATACATCGGGTGGCGGAGAAAACAACATGGGGGTCTATAATAGGAAAAGATTTCAGGATAAACATTTTGTCGTAATGTTAATATTTTTTAGACCATACACACAGTGATAATCTAACCCGGCTAAAAATTGAAATCGCTATGACGACAGTCAAACTTCCAAATAATTTTCATCAACCTGCATCTCTCAAAACCCTGTTTTGTGAATTTGTCTGTGACTTATCGAAGAAAATTTGCACGAAAACAGTGATATTGAAAATATGCTCTTGGATATAGATTTACTTGCATCGTAGTGATACCAAAGGTTGAGGATGTAAGACCATTGCTATTCAGAAATGGTAAACTAAGTATGAGGAAATTGAAATCTTCATATTTCTCATACAGCTTGGTGGAAAGCTGTCCATGATGGTCTCATTGTAAGAAAATATCGAGATAAGCATACGGAGTAGAGGAGTAAAATTGAAGGACTTGGCAAAGGTCTTTATGACTTATTTAGATAAGTTATCGGATAAATTCAACCACGTAGGTGAAAAAAGAAACAAGTCAACCAACAGAGGGATACAAATACATCCCGGAAGACTACATATTCTGAATACTTATTAGCCGGCTGATTATTTCAAATTATCAACAGATATTAAAATTTTGCAAACCTAAAATCATACAGACTATACTAATTGGGATACGGACCGTGAGTGGTAAAGGATATTGTGTCAACGGAAATGTCTTAAGAAGGACGAATAGTTCATGTATCCATCATTTCATCATTATCATCGGGGTGGCTCCGTCTTAAGTAACAAGATTTCTAGTTTTCATTGTCCATGACATCCTCGTGACGCAAAAAATAACAGAAAAATAATATCTTAGTACATATTTAGTACCAATCAAAACACAGATTTGTACTGTATATTGTACATCGTGTGTAGCACATTGTGAAAATAGTATTTTTAGTACTTATGCAATAGTTACCAATCAAAACACAGATTTGTACTGTATATTGTACATCGTGTGTAGCACATTGTGAAAATAGTATTTTTAGTACTTATGCAATAGGTACCAATCAAAACACAGATTTACACTGTATATTGTACATCGTGTGTAACACATTGTAAAAATAGTATTTTTTAGTACTTATGCAATAGTTACCAATCAAAACACAGATTTGTACTGTATATTATACATACATGAAGTGTAACTATTCCTGCATTCTGCTTTCCGTTACGTATAACAGTACCGGCTGTGCGTGTATATACATCGTAGTGGTTTTAGAATTAAGCCAGGTCTATGATGCGTAGACTAACCATGTCTACGGACAGCCGAGTAATTCTTTACAAAATCTTGAGTGGGCTGGTAGCTAGTCTTTATGATTCAGCGTCCATTTTATGGGACGATGGATAACCTGCAGTGTTTGATTTATTGTACAGGTTTTCCGGCTGTGAGACGCGTAGTGTGTACAATAAAATAGTTTTGTTATACACCAATTAACTATTAACTGACTACCTATCGTTTAAATGATATAAACTGCATCCATGTAAAGATAAATATCCCGTAATGAGAATATTCTCCAAGTATCGTTGTTTACTATGGTGATCCACACGATTCAGGTTAACATCATTTTGTTTTATCAATGATATACAATAGAGGAAAATAAATTGCGCTTGGATTATTTTCATACTTTTGCTTAGTAAAACTAAATTACTTACAATACAATTTCTATGGGAAACCGTTTAGATGAAATGTGCAGTGGGATCAAACTAACATACATCCATTGCATTTTTCAAACATTTTACTGACAAAGGTTGGGATCTCACAGCTCAAGCAGTATTTTACAAACATTTTACTGACAAAGGTTGGGATCTCACAGCTTAAGCAGTGTTATACAAACATTTTACTGACAAAGGTTGGGATCTCACAGCTCTAGCAGTATTTTAGAAACATTTTACTGACAAAGGTTGGGATCTCACAGCACTAGCAGTATTTTACAAACATTTTACTGACAAAGGTTGGGATATTACAGTTTTAGCAATATTTTACAAACATTTTATCGACATTGACACGATACACATAAACTCTTCTCATACTTTTTACATACATTGTTTATGGGGAAAATATTGTTGAAATATAGATACATAATTTTGTAATGGTATTTTTCCAACTAGTAAGAAGAATATCGGTACTGGTATAACAACTTTTGCACACGTCCATCAACTAGCGTGATCATGGCTCAACATAATGACATATTTCACCCGGCTCGTAGTTTTCTGTGTATTGCTTTAATGAAAACTATGAAGAGCTTTTAAAACTATCTTTTTACCTGAATTAGACTTGGGCATGTTTACCTATGAAAAGGGAGAATACGTGTGTAGTGGACCGTGGTGACCTATTACCCAATCCTTGTTTGTTGTGAGACGTGTAAATTATGCAGTATAAATAACTGGACCTTTGTTTTTTTTGTAGCACGTGTTCTAGTCTGAATCTGAATATTACATTGCAGGACCTTATAAGGTATAAACAACTTCCAGTAAATATTCAATACAACCGAATTGCTTTTCATGGAAACGAAGAAAATATTCGCCAAACCTGTTCGCTGAATTCCTGAGGAGTTACACAATCAGTGATGTTTTATCGTTAGGATTACAATTTGATAACTGAATTTTAATTGCAAATCTGTATTTGCAAACTATGTACATTTAAATCGTAAATATGGAAACGAATTTTTACACTTAACAACGTATGATACATGCATAAATATAGCCATGTTATAGTTTTTGTAAAGCCCGTAATTTCTAGACTCTCTGCAAATATATTTAATTCTGAAAAGATGTGTTTATGTATACTTTTTGAACAAAAGTCATATAAATATGGTGTGGCCCTCCATTACTATATGTTGTCCGCTGGAAGGCTGACAGGCCATAAAACCCCTTAAATAAATAAATAAATAAATAAATAAATAACGTGACGTGTTGAATGGATGGCGTGCTGCAAATAGGTTTATAGTTCCCTTTGGAAACTACAACACCGACGTTTTATACGAGTTTGATTAATGTGCTAATGGTAGTCTAGCTTGTTAGTGTCTACAACACTTCATTTGTCACGAAAGTTGCCTTTTAACTTCTCTATCATTTATTGGTCTCTCAAGCTAATGATGCGTTGTGTACCAGGATGTGAACGGGTAGCATAAAGGGAGATAACACTGAGGTTGCTAAGATTGTGTCATAACTTGTATATCGAGTATCCCCCCTGTTTGCTTAATCCATAGGAAGTGTATTTAGAGTAGATGGTTGCGTTTATTTTCTACACACCTAATTTTGAGCTAGTTCCTTGTAACTTGTGTTATAGGGCAAAACTTGTCAATATAATCGGAACGCTATCCATTCGCTTGGTATATATATGTTTACGAAGACAGCGATTGAAAAATGTATTTTTGTGAGCGTTCGAAACGTGCATTTCCTTTGCAAGCACGATACATGTGAGTGAATTTAGACGACAGCTCACTATTCGGTGATTAAACGAAAATGTTAAGTCAGTTGTTATAGTTTCAGAACGAATTTTCGTTTCGATAGCACTCTTATACCGCCAGTTTCCAGTTAAACTCTTCTCTCTCTAGCACCTATGAGGCTAGGTAAAACCATCATTACGCTGCCTGGACAGGGAAACACAGACAGAAGCTTTCTTTCGTCACATATTATAGTTACATGTATACGCTGTCATGAACTTGAGAACTCATATATCCCTATACAGAACATAATTACGTTATTATGAATTTTTGAAACTCAAAGAAGTTTCCGATACAGATCCTGATTACCCGGTTATAGATACAGAAGACATTTCTGATACAGATTATAATTGCGTTGTCATGAATATGGAAACTCTGATAACCATTTTATTTTAATCACCTTGCCTGGACATGGGAACGCATATAGACGTTTCCGTAACAGTACAGACTAAAATCACACTGTAAGTTGGTATGGGCCTGAAACCTCAGAAGTTTCCGATACAGACCCTGATTACCCGGTTATAGATACAGAACACATTTCTGATACAGATTATAATTACACCGCCATGGACCTGGAAATACAGAGGACATTTCTGATACAGATTATAATTATACCATCATGGGCCTGTAAATACAGAAGACATTTCTGATTCATATTATGATTGCGTTGTCATGAATATGGAAACTCTGATAACCATTTTATGATAATCACCTTGCCTGGACATGGGAACGCATATAGACGTTTCCGTAACAGTACAGACTAAAATCACACTGTAAGTTGGTATGGGCCTGAAACCTCAGAAGTTTCAGATACAGACTAATTTACAATGTAAAAATAAGAAAGAAAATTCCGAAACAGACCATGATATTGTCCCGTGGGAGGGGAAATAGACCTATAGGCAAATTGAAACTTTCTACGTTCTTTATTGTTGCGGAGTTCACAGTGTATCAGTGTTTGTGTACATAGCAACAAACAGACCTGAAACATAATTGGTTCATTCAAGTTACAATGGCCGTAATACTCCAGATATTGGTGAATAATATTGTAGATATTTATAGTACAGTAACAGTCAAGGTCTTTTGAAGATGGAGTCTCCTTAAAGCTGTCGGGGTAGGGTACCTTGTCCACGGACACAACCAAAGGCAACACAGAAACACAAAACGACCAAAGTTGGGACAACAGAACCATTCACTTCATCTGTGGTTTTATGTCTCCCTGTTTCCGTATCGCAATTTGGTGTGACCGAATTCTGATTAAAATCTGAAAAGATCGTAATTTAGATTTCGCGATCGGACATTATTCAATAAAGATTTTATCACGAATTCGGGATATACACGGTACAAGTATATCATAGTACAGAACAAAAAAAAAATAAAAATCTACATCTTACCCTAAACCGTT